TCACTTAATGTTAGCAGGGTGATATTCTCCCTTGCCCTCTCATTGCCTCCATCTTTGTCTTGATTTTCTCTTGCTAAGCCGTGGGTGATAAGCTTCAACCAGGTGTCAGTCGACTGAGGTCTTTCTCTCACCTTATCTCACATGCCAAGTTTCAGACATTGTTTTCACACCTTAGATGCTACAGGTAAGAGCCATATAACTGCTTGATATGATAGGAAAACTCTGAGAGGAAATACGTCAGATTTGAGGACACAAGCACATATTCAAGACTGGACGAACCAAATGTATTTATTTAAAAATGAAGTGTGTCATTTGTTTGATGTACATGCAAAGTCAACTAGAAGTAATTCAAATTTCAATTTCAAATTTATTCATCACACGCTTTTCGCAGTACACATTGTTTCAAAGCAGCTTACAGAAAATCATGTTTATAATGAATGTTTATAATATCTTAATATCGTCATATCTTTGTCACATTTAGCAGATCAGAGCTGCGCAATAATATAATTTTGCAACAATGTACTGTGTGTTGTGACTAATCAAGCATTATAAAACGGATAGTTCCGGTTCTTGATTCTGATTGGTTGAGCCACGTTCGAAGCTGTTGTAAATTACTCTACAAACATACACCTTTGTTTACTTTGTGTGTTGCTTGGCAACCACTTTATTGCAACCACAACTGTTTCTGAGGAACTACATTGTTTGGTGGAAGAATACTGGTTTATTAATATCGTTTCACTTTATTTGCAAAACCTTACTACATATATGGAATAACTGTTTTATAAAAGCAATAAACCCTGTGAAGCCGTGGTTTACAGTGAATTTATAACAGCGCCCCTTAGCTGTTATAAATTCACTGTAAAACACGGCTTCTTGGGGCTTACTGCTTTAATTGAGATTTGCTGTTTACGCTGTAAAAAATGATTTTTCAACGTTATATAAATATAAAATATTATTGGAGTGCGTTTTACAAGAAAATACTATTTCAGTATGTTTTACTTAAAAATGTCATGTTTAATTCAATAATACCATTTCTTTGTAATTGTGAAAATTACTAGCAATTTCTGAGTGAAAACTGTATACATAAATTTTTCAGTGTAATGTATATTGCCTTATGCAAGTATACTATATGTCTGTGAATAAAGTTGGACATACTTATTTAAATCTGTATAAAGATCTAGGCCAGGGGTAGGCAAGTTCGGTCCTAGAGAGCCGCAGTCCTGCAGAGTTCAGCTCCAACCCTGAAAAAAAAACTCACCTGCCTATAGCCTTAGTAATCCTGAAGACATTGATTAGCTTGTTCAGGTGTGTTTGATTAGGGTTGGAGCTGAACTCTGCAGGACTGCGGCTCTCTAGGACCGAACTTGCCTACCCCTGATCTAGGCAATAAGACATTCATAGGTTGATTTCCCTAAAAAGTGGCACTTATTTCAGCAATTTATTATAATTACACACTTCACCTTTAAGGACAGACCATTAAAATCCAGTTCCATTGAGTGCTAATCTGAAAACCTGGTAGTTATAGACCCAAATCTGATGATCCAAGTAGGCCAAATCATGAATTGATGCAGTGAAGTGCCTCAGTCTACTATCAGCACTGAATGAGCTAATCTTTGGATTCAGAAATTCATTTCACGCTTTTGCTCGATGTCCTTTTTTAAAAGACCAGCTCAGACCAGCCAGATCTTCCTTTCAGTGCTAGTTTGGTGCTGGTCTATATGATGAACCAGTATAGCCATGCTGAAGGAATGATCTGATATTAATATTTAATATCTTGATTCATGAATATTGATTGTATAATGTGATGTACAACTAAAAAGCAGACACAAACAAGCACTAGCCATTGGATATTCAGATACTTTTAAGTCTTCTGTTTGTTTCTTTGTTTTATTTGGTCGGCTACAATTAGTTTTCTTTGCATTGTGACTAAGAAATTCTCAAAATATGATCATGTTGTAAAACTTCTAAAAGACATAATGGTTGTCCTAGATTTGCCGAACAGCATGGACTTTCTGGTGAAGCTTGTTGACAAATGAAGCCTTACTGACCAAGGAACTCGTGCATTCAAAACACGCTGGTCTTTTCAGCAGGGACGTTGCCTTGTGTGCTGTTTTAAGTTGCGCATGCACTTAAATGTGTGCATGCAAATGTGTGCAAAAAAAAAACTCAGTAGTTTCCTCAAGAGCAGTCACTACCAAATCAATAAACGGCACCAAGATTCAGCCAAGAATTTAAGCAGCTAAATGGCCTCTCAATCCCCCCAATAGAGTACAATGAAAGCCTTCAGTTTTCTGCATTAGCTGTCTGAAAATGGCTAGGGAAGGGAAAGAAATGAGGGAACACTCCTTCTTGGCAAGCTGCAAGATCAGTCTGTTAGCTGGCACAAGCGGAGGTCTCCCCCCTTCAAGGCGGGAGGAAAGCAGGAAGAGAAAAAGAGTGTGATTTCAACTTCCAGAGCATTCTGTCTGGGGGATGTTCCTCTTAAAAACAGCCCTCCTTCCTACTTTCCTTTCTCACTTTTTTTTTCTTTTTTTACACAAACATACACACACACATTCAATTTCTCTCCAGCTAGGCCGGTGGACCCACTGGGAACCAGTGCAATCTAGCCTCATTCACATGTTCAGTTTTGGGAGTTGGGGTTTTTAAACTCCTTTTGCATCAGCACAAGTCTCACCTGCAATCCGCCGAGCTTTGTCATGGTGTGCCATTCGTGTCTGTATTCGTATTAGGCCCTGTTTACACCTGACTTAATGATATAATTGAAATACACATGGCACAGCACAAATAGCGGATGGGTAAACTAAAAATTGCAAGTGGGTAGTGAATAAGAGTTTTTCACACTGAATTGTGCTCCCTGTCCAAAAAAAAAAAAACAGTTTAAACCAGCCTTAGGAAGTTTGCTGGTTTTAGCTTGTTCGAGCTAGTTTCCCGGGCTGGAAAAGCCGGTTTGACTGGACCGTTCTGATGGTTTTAAACACTTTTCAGTCAGGATAGGAGATTGGCTAGACCAGTTTCAGCCGGCTAAGGTTTAATTAGTCTCCCACCCTGACCAACTGGAGGGAAAACCATAAAAACTGTCCAACTTAACCAGCTTGACCAAACTGGGAGACATTAGGCTGGTATAAGCTGGTTTGTGCAGACTGGTTAGGTTGATCGGTTCTGATGGTTTTAGAGGGGACACTTTACAGGGCGAGAGATCAGCTAGACTGACCATTCTGGTCGACCATCTAGACTGGTTTAAACCAGCCAATCTTGCTAATGCTAATGCTAATCTTGCATTTAGCTGGTCAGTCTAGCTGAAATGTTCCCAAAACCCCTCTAAAACCATAAAAACTGTCCGACTTAAATAACTTGTCCAAACTGGGAGACCTTGCGCTGCTTAAGTTTTTTTTTTTTTTTTAGTAAGCGTTTCAAGTTTGTTGTCATGTCTTAGTTGTCAAGTACTTAAAAAAAAAACTTTGTGCAAACTGGTTAGGCTGGTCAAGTTTTGTTGGTCTTAGAAGGGTTTTGGACACTTTTCAGTGGAAGATCAGCTAGATCGACCAGTGAATCACCAGTTTGACCATTCTAGGAGATCATCTAGACCAGTTTAAACTACCCAGCTACTTAGGCCAGACTGGTTAATTTTGATGATTTTTGCAGGGGTTTTTGACATTTTTCAGATGGTCAGATGGTCATTTAGATAAACACCAGCTTGCCATGTTGGGAGAGCAGCTAGACCATCTTAAATCAGTTGCTACTTTAGGCTTGCTTAAGCAGCTAGTTTTTCAGCAGGGTTCGCGTAAAGTATCAAAGATTACACATACTGATAAGTAATTCTCTGCCACAGGCACATTTCACTCAAATTCGTTCATCATAAAATGCAGTCACACCCCCCCCCTAAAAAAAAACTCTACTACCCTGCTGAAAAGACCTGCTAGACCAGTACTACTAACCAGCATAAACCAACCTCGACCAGCATGGAAATTGGCGGCCTTTTAAGCAGGGATAAAAGGGCCATGCAAAACGTCACACAAACAACCAGATCATTGACAATTCAGTGACAATCCATTTTTATGTGCGTCAACGGTGAATGTATCAAGGAGTGATTGCACGTGAATGTTTCTGTAAGGACCAGGCATCCTCACAACTGTGATAAAACTCTCCCCTATAATACTGTTGTGGAAAGAAAAAAACAAAAACGTTGGAACAACATCCCACACTTTCTTGCTACAGAGCGCCTACAAAGAGCCTTTCTTCTCCCACAAGACGATTGAAATTTCCAAAAGGATTCCCACGGATTCTAAATGCAGCTCTTGCACTTGCCTTGGCATGAGAAAGTGCCAAAAGCACAGTGGCTCGCGGGCCTACACGCGCATCCATTTGGCCAAGCAGCCGCTCTGTAGCTGATCGACAACGTGTAACGTTTCAAGAAATGGACCATCAAGACCAACGCTCATACAAAATGTGTGCAAGAGTGCGTTTCGGCACAACGAAGCTGTAGGAAAAGAAAGAAACCCATGCAAAGGAACAGAGAGAAAAGGAACAATTGCGATCCATTTTCTTTTTCTGTTAAGAGAGGTTAAAGACACAACAGAACTGTGCTGTTAGGTATGGTGAAGAGGAAAAAGAAAACAACAAATGAAAAGAAGAAATCAAAAGCAACCCGGCAAACTGGCTCACACCAAGTGACTTCACATAGAACAAAGACTTCTGGAGAAAATCCCATAAAATTGGGTTAGGCAGGCCAACTAGAAACCCAACCACCAAGTGAGAGTCTGGCTTCTGAAGTCCACCCACATTAGAGAAGTGTACATGAATCTGTAGTAGGAAGGAGAAACCCTTTTCCCATGTTGTGTGCGTGTCTTTCTAAGTGCGAAGGTGGCGTGCAACACCGTGTCCTAACCAGGCACTTTAGCCCACTTAAGCCGGCCCGGTTAGGACGCTGTACTTGAGCTGAAAAGTGTATTGACTGTTTGCATCAGTAGTGCATGTCATTCCTGCATTGCTCTACTCACCGATGACCATGGCGACCAGCTCTTTCTTGCCAGAGCCCAGACTGTTCTTCACCTCGCACACGAAAGTGGTGTTCACCGTTTCGTCCACCTTCCTCACCAGCAGCCGGTTCTGATCCACTCGAACCGAAGGCGGGAACTGACCCGACGCACTGAGGAACCATGGACACGGAAAAGAGCATTTGTAGCTAGTCTTTGAAACCATGCTGTCTTAACTGTTGTCCAGTTTTACGACTGACTCTGAGGTTTTGCATCAAATCAAAGTCAAGTTTTCATATTTGTCAAACCATCTTTAGTATTATTAAATGCTTTCCATATGATGGTTACATGCAAGGCTTAGATCAGGGATTAATCTTATTTATTTATTTAGATCACATACAAGACCGTTTCCAAGTACATTTTATTTTATTTCATATTTTTCATATCATATTTTTATTTGAATTTTCTGATTGCTTTCAGCTTGTTTTGGTAAAAACCCCGATCAACAGATGAAAATGGAGACACAGATTGAGGTAAAACTAGTGTGAAGTTCATGTATTTTATGTACTTAATTTGACAATAAAAAACAGTTGATATAGAACACAGTTGTAAGATCTTTGCTGCAGTAAAAAGGCATTAAATGCAAATGAATCACTAATGCAATCTAGATGTTCAATATTATATTATCAATATATTTATTTATAGAATTACTAATGAAATATTAATATAAAATATCTGAAAATGCACCCATATATCTCTAAATATATTGTTAAACATGTTTTGAGACATTAGCTTGTGGTGGAAAATAATGACTGCTTGTGTGTTTTTGCTTTTGTGTGCTGTTGTTTTATGACATTTTAATGCACACCATTATAATTAGGCCTACTGCTTTTGAAAAAGTGCCAGATAAATCCGTAAGTGTTGCATATTTGTCAACTAACTTCAAACCCTACAATCAAACTGCTACATCTACGTCTTTCACCCCAATAAGTCTTGCTAATAAATGTTGTTTCTCGATCTGTATCGATTCACGTTCTTTGTTTTGGTGAGAAAATGAAGTTGAACCAGTGAAGCGTTAATAGGCTGCTGTTGCTTTATACCACAGGCAGAGATGCTTCCTCAATTCACAGCAAATTAGCCTGTGGCTGTTGTTAGCAGCGAAACTGCCATATCTGACTTTGTTTCAGTCATATTGGAGATGGAACAACAGCACATAAATATAAATATGAAATATGGATTCTCTTCAGACTAAATGACTAGTAATGCTAATGAAAACAAGATGAAAAATGTTTCTGTTTTTTCCTTCCCGTTTTGAGTAAATTCCGTCATCATTTACTCACGAGCGTGTTGTTGCAAACTAAATGTGTTTTTTCTTCTGTAGGAGGAGATATTTAGCAGAATGTACAAGCATCTATTTATTTTATATATACACTACAATTCTGTAAGATTAAAAAAAGAAAAAATTAATACTTTTATTTAGCATGAATACATTAAATTGATCAAAAGTGGCAATAAAGACACTTTTAATGTTACAAAAGATTTCAATTCCAAATAAATGCTATCACAAAAAAGTATCACAGTTTCCACAAAAATATTAAGCAGCACAACAGTTTTTACCATTGATAAGAAGAAATGTTTTTTTAGGGCTGTCAATAGATTACAATTTTGAATCTAATTAATCACACCCTTTTTCTGTGATTAATCGCGATTAAT